ATCAAGAGGGTAATGCAAGAGAAAGCCTATGGTGAATAAGGTAAGTGGGGATGAGGAACAAATGGATAAAACTCGTGCTTCCAAGTGCTGCAGACGGAGCAGACCTTTTCCTCTCCAGAAGCCAAACCTTGGCGTGCCTGCACAGTGAGTGTTCTCCAAAGCACTCGGTGTCCTTATGCCCCCCAAGACCCTCACGGTGTGAAAGGGCTCTGAACGTCTTGTAAAGTAGATGCAGTTTGTTGTGTTGCTTCCACTGGTGGTTGGGACTACAGGATGCCGGCGGGGCATAGTGTTGGCTCCTGGAAGGCTGTGGTCCCTCCCGGTCCTCCCCATGCTGGGCACTGTGGCCGGATGCCACTGCTCGGCAGGGCTGGATGTTCCAAAGCTCTCCTGCCTTTCCCCGTGTTCAGACGCAGTCTTCCGCAGGCTTAGCCACTGACACGACATTAAGCTGTTCTGCACAGTAAACAACCCCTCAGTGAAATACATTTGTGATTTTGAATCGTTAGCATCTGTCTGAATTACAGAGCTGCTTTATTTAATTCATTACTGGGGCATTCACTCCATTATCACTAAACATGGTTTATCTATTAACTCTTACTATCAAGTCCATGAAAAATCCTGCAAGATTTCTGTGCCTGTTTATTCCACGTTTTCTGAGTCACAAAAGCAGTGCCAGTCATTGCAGATGAAGAGGAATACGGTGTCCTCGGTGCATTAAAGCACATCTAAAAAAAGAAGTTGCCAGATCATAGTTTTCAAGGACTGTCCAAACTCTTATGTATGCAGACCTTTTCATTGAAGGAAAAAATGTCTAAGGGTTGATATATAGCTCTCATTGCTTCTGTTATTTATCAAATCTGTATTTAAAACAGTAAAGTGTGAACTATTAGCAGCTCTAGGGAACAGGAACCTTTCAAAAAGGTGCCTGATGCAACAGGCACATTGAATGATTTTTTTCCTCGTTGAGACTTGGGAATTTTAGCTGTTGACTATTCTCCCTCTGGACAAGGCTCAACCACTGAAATTTCCCATCTACTCCAGCTGCCTTCAACCCTGAATGGCAAAGCAGAGACTTCTTCAAGCCAGAAATCTCATTATTGCACCAGAAGGCCTTGGTTTAGGTTTTGCCATGATTTGTGTTCTCCCTCCTTCCTGAGGCATGGTCCCCTGCAGGACCCTTGCCTGGGAGGACAGAGGATGCTCCTGGAGGCACGGATGCCCTCTCAGCGTGTTGTTCCATGAATCTCCGTGGTGTGTTCTGAAGCAGAAATGGCTCAAAAGTGGGAGCAGCTGCAGAGCAGCACTTTTTCTCAGGCAGCTCTCAAGACCTTTCCCCACTGGTTGGGTGGCTCGTGCTCAGCACCAGCAATGGAGCTCAGAGAGGATGAGCTGACACGCGGATGATGAGCCGAAAAATGCACACCTGGTGCATGATGGGAACTTTTGCATTAGCAAAATATTTCGTGTAATGGCTCTGTGTTCCAAGTATTTCTCTTATGCCCTCCTGTGAGGTCTTTATGTACCTTGTAAATATGAAATATAATAATCTGCAGGGACCTGTAGGGACAATTTTATTCACTTTCAGAAGCTTAATATTCCAGAAATGAAAGCATTTTCTTTACATCTTCATGGGACCAGACAGGGAGAAGCATTTTAATATGTATATCTACTAAGACTGTGGTAACACAGCCTAGGGAGACTCCATTACTAACATGATTTGGCTCATCGTTAAATATTGTCCAGCAATGAAGATGAATCATGTCTTTCAAAGTAATTTCTTTAAAATTATCTTAAATTAAGGTGCAAGACTGAACAGCCTTACTCTTGATTGAGCACATCCTGGATGCTTTTACACACTGTATGATGAAACTGACTGCTGAATTATCTGACTTAGCTTTGTCAGCCAGGAAAAACTCCCTGCAGGCAAGAACCAGGAACCCACGAAGTCCAGAGGCTCGGGTCTAACAGCTGACTTGGCCTCCCTGAGCAAAGGCAATGCAGTCCATGTTTTTGTCCAAAAGATCAGGCTGTCCCATGTTACAGGTTGTGAAAGACTTCACTGAACAGGAAAGGTGAAAAGCAAGCAGAACGCCATCTAAAAATGAACCGTAGCAATGACCTGTGAAAATGTTCATAATCTGGTGTCTTAGTGTTCCCAAGTGGGAGGAAATCCCTGAGATCCAGATCCAGCTACTCTCCTAACAGACCAGTTAGCTGTACTGGTGAGATGTGAAGTGATACTTAAAAAATGCACAGGTCAACTCCCAGGTAGATTTGCAGAGTTAGGGACAAGAATTGAGTCAGATTATGTACACTGATGACATGAGTTGTGATAGTGATGGAAGGTTTTAACTGAAGAGTTCAGACCTTTCCTTATTATGCCTGTCAAGCTGCAATCAAATGTATATCTCTTTTTTTAAAGTGTGTACTTTGATTCTTTGGTATTTAGATTTGCTAGACTACTGGCCGAACAAGGATCTGAATTCATGTGGTACAGCTCTGATTTCTTTGGCCCTCATCAATGCTTATTCTACGTTAGATCTATTCAAAAAATTAATCTTCACCTCAATTGAATTTTCAGCAATTTGACATTTCTTTTTGACACAGAAAGCAGAAAAATTGAAAATGGTAATCTCATGAAAATGAGAAGTTCCAAGCTTTTTTGATTTAAGTAGTGTCAAATGGATGTGTTCAGAAAAGTACATTTCTCCCTTGCTTTCTCTGTCTGACCTAGGGGAGCCAGCACAAACGTTAAGTTCTGATCCATGATGAACGCCGAAGTCTGCTAGAAGCAGCTCAGAATGTTTGTAAGTGGATAATAGCTGCATCAAAACATCATGTGATTGCTTAAGTGTGTGATCCTTTGGCAGAATAAATGGGTTCTGCAAAGAATACTGTACAGTGAGGCATTATACGTTGTGTGCCTTTGGCACACAGAGCGTTTCACAGCCATCGGGTTTATGCATGTGCATCTGAATGCCGTGCTGCCAAGTTGTCCTCCTCATGCAGTTCAAAGAAATGAGAGGGGACACTGGCAAAAGAGCACATCATAACCTCACAGCGCAGGAGCCCCAGGATGGAGCCCTGTGTGTTCCCACAGCCTCCGCAATGCCGCCGTGGAGATGCTCGTGGGTCGTCGCTCACCCCAGAGCCATCCAGCACGGGCTCCCAGCCATGCCAGGGCTGCAGCGTGTGCAGCCACCATGCATCAGGCAGGGCATGTGTGTATATCTGTACATATATACACATGGTGACGTTCACCACCAACACATCAGCAGTAATTCCTGACATCCCACGTCTCCAGAAGACGTTTGCAGGGAAATGATTGCCATTTCTCCTTTGGTAGCAAAAGCCTTGCTTCTGATCTCATGTGTGCTGTAGCCCCACACCTTTACAGTTGTAAATGCTGTATTCCTGATTTGCCATCCTCCAGATAAAATCCTGACTGAGTTGATTAGTGTCCTGATGCAGCAGAAACTATGAAGAAACAGATGAAACTACCCACTCTCCGGTTGGTGCCCTGGCCCAACTGGGCACCTGGCTCAGCCTGGGAAGGATGCAGGTATGGGCTGGCTGCAGCCCAGGAGGAAAAGGGGATGCTGAGGAAGTCTGGAGTGGCCCGGTGGCATCTCTGAAGACATACATGACAAAAACACCTATGGCAAAAGACATTCTGACATTCTGTGTTGCCAAACAAATGCTGGGATGCTGAGTCTGTCAAAAGTGAGAAGCTGGCTTTTGTCTCCAGTCCATATGCAACCCTGCCTGCTCCCCACTCAGCCCTTCTGCCCGCCAGCACTGCAGGAAGGCAGCTCAGGGATTCTTTTGCCTGTGAGTTTCTGAGCTTAGAGACTGAGGCTGCTCTGCAAATGACTGTGTCTGCAAAGGACGGGAAGGAGAAGAGGAGGGATTTCCATCAGTGTTGCTGCTCTGGTCCTGCTCTCCCCCACCTCATGGTTCAGTGCACAGAGGGCTGAGCCGTGGCAGGAGTCTCCCTGACACCCAGCAGCACCCTGAAACTTCTGTTCTCCTTTTCAGGTTGCATTTCACTTTTTACACTGTTCTCCATGCCACGAGGAAGCAAGAAGGGGCCAGTGCCAGCCGCAAAGCTGGGAGTCAGAAATCAGATGCTCTGTCTGCACAAGATCTGGAAGGGAGAGAAAGATGCTGCAAATTAGGAAAGATGCTTCACCCCACGTAGCTGTTGTGCTGGGGTACCCGGAAAGGAGCAGGAGGAGAGAGGAGACAGGGAAGATCAGGGTGCTTCTGCTCCCTCTGTAGTTTGCTGCATTGCTAGATCTGCATGTCAGACTCTCCCATCGTCTGTGTGGGGTTGCAATACACCTCAGGATAAACTAGAGAGAGATACACTATTGGCTATTTCATATGCAGTGTGTCATCTGGCAGGCTGTATATATCACATGGAGAGCAGAGACCACTCAGCCTCTGAGCAAAGCTGCTTCAGCATAGAGCTCAGAGATACTTTGAGGATGGAAAGAAAAAGGGAAGGCAGCCCTTGCTTTTTTGATTCTGACAAGCTCTGAAAACTCTTGGGAAACAGAGACCTGACGGATGAAGGGCTATGTGGAAAACCAGTAAAGCAGATTCCCAAGGAGAAGTTGTGGGAGAGAAGCAGAACGGTGCCCAGAAAGAAATATTCACTAGGATTTCTTCCTAGGTGCAGAGAGAAAGTGTTGGGGGTTCTCTGATATTTCAGCATCTGAATCAGCTTCTGTATATAGGACATATGGGACTGAAAAAGCACGGCAGCTGGAGACTCCCCAGGGCAAAGCTCACGTGTAATCAGCGCTGGAAGAAGGACTCATTTATCAACTCTTCCATGTAGTTTGTGACTGAGGGGCAGATTTTTAAAATGCAAGTGTGTGCTCCTTCCTGCAACCACTGACTTTAGCACCTGAGCTGCCAGGGAGAAGGGCAGAGAGGAACTACAGCCTGTCTGGGGACACAGGCAGTGCTGGAGCTTTGCTTCTCGAGCCATGAGGAGGCACACGTGGTTCCCCTTGCAGTACATCTCCAAGCCCTTCTGGAGAGCAGAGAATCACAACACGACCAACTTCTTCTCTGCATTGTACGGCTTCCCTAACCAATCCTTCTTCCACAGTGATTTGGACCTGGAGGACCTGGGAGACTTTGACAGCGGCACCAAGTATGAGGGCGAGTCCCAGAGCCGGACGGTGAAGGTGCTGCTGATAGTAGCCTACTCCGTGATCATCTGCATCTCGCTCTTCGGCAACATCCTGGTGTGCCACGTGGTGATCAAGAACAAGAGGATGCACTCAGCCACCAGCCTCTTCATTGTCAACCTGGCCGTTGCCGACGTGATGATCACCATTCTGAACACCCCCTTCACGCTGGTGAGCATCCGCCTTGTCTGTGTTCTGCTGGTGTCTGTGTGTGCCTGTCAGAGCTGTGTACGTGGGTGTGGAATGGGTCGGTAACAGGCACAGAGTTTCTTTTTGGCTCCCTCTGCACTCCGTTTGCCTCCCGGGTAAGCTGCAGTCATGCACTGTCCAGCGTTCTGCCTTCCAAAAGCAGCTCCCAAATTATCAGTTTGAATTTACCTTTTCTTAAATTGACCCTGTTTCTTTGGTGGGATTTCTCTGCCTTGCTCTGATGGGCTTTACATCCTTTAATCTGTTCAGGGAAAGGACAGTGCCCTCTTGTGTGTTTGCACAGCATGCACACCTTAGGCACAAGAACCTCAGGAACTGTAATCCCTCTTAGGAAACAGCTTTACATCAACTTCAAAGAAACAGCACATTGTTGCAGTTCCCTTGACAGAGTCATTACTACTGGATTTGTCTCTATAGGGAAATCAATTAGATTAACTGAAAACAGATTAGCTAGTCTTGACTAATTCTGCGTGGACAGATGTTTTGTAGTAAATAAGCTTGATCTCAAATTAGCTTAATCTGAATGCATTACATTAATTTGAAATAAATATTGCACAGTCAGGAATAACAAGGGAGTGAGACAACAACTGTTATTTCATAGAATCACAGAATGGTTTGGGTTGGAAGGGACCTTAAAGATCATCTTGTTCCAACCCCCCTGCCATGGGCAGGGACACCTTCCACTAGACCAGGTTGCTCAAAGCCACAAAGATTATTTGGAATAATCTCTGCAGAAAAGCCACAATGAGCAATACCTCTCTGGGAACTTGTAAGAAATGCCGTGCTGCCCTTGCCACTGCAATCTCAGGGAAGCTTTACACGCTCCCTGCCTCCCCTTCCTCCCTTCCCTCCCAGGAGCAGCTGGATTTCATGCCCAGGTGGAGTCGGCTCCCGTACGCAGAGCTCAGATCAATGAGGAAGGCAGCCCAGCTTGTGAAGCGTGAGCTGCTTTTTCAGCTGGAGTGTAAAATTTTCCTGTTTGCGTAGCTTAACTGACACCTCTGAAACTGCTGTTGTGTATCTCACACAATTGGATACGAAGAGAGTCAGGTTGGAGATCCACAGGCCAGCAAGACCCTGCCACCCAGCCCCGTGCCATGTTTCTGAGCGTGGCTGGTAGTTGCAGAGCCCAGGAGGAGCACAGATGCAGGGCAGGTACGCAGGGATGCTCCACGGACAGGCAGTCCCTCACTCAGGGGTGTTACCTCTTTGCTGCAATGCTCTCAAGAATATTTTCTTCCATGAAATTATCTCACTAAGTTTTGAACCCACGCAACTTCCAGCATCCACAGTGTCAAACATGCGACTGTTTTTAAGGAGACAAGCTACTGTTTTTCTCTGCAGAGCCCCATCAAAGAGTTGAGCTAAGATTTCTCCACGTTTTTCAGAAGGGCCATGTTACACGTACACAGGCACACGCAAACACACATACACAGAACACTAAAGTAGGTTTGTTTGCACATGTCCGGGTTTGCGCTGGGGTAGAGCTCATTTTCTTCCCAGTAGCCGGTATAATGCTGTGCTTTGGATTTAGTGTGAGAATAATGTTGGTAACGTGCTGATGTTTTAGTTGTTGCTAAGTAGTTGATCTTACACTAAGTCAAGGACTTTTCAGCTTCTCATGCTCTGCCGATAGAAGGCTAGATATGCGCAAGAACCTGGGAGAGGGCACAGCTGGGGCAGCTGACCCAAACTGGCCAAAGGGCTATTCCATACCATATGGCATTGTGCTCAGTATATAACCTAGGGGAAAGCTGGCCAGGGGTCACTGCTCGGGGACTGACTGGGCATCGGTCAGCGGGTGGTGAGCAATTGCATCACTTGTGTTGTATATTCTTTTATTGTTAGTAGTAGTAGTGATATTTTGTTTTATTTCCATTATTAAACTGTTCTTACCTCAAACCATGATTTTTTTCACTTTTAATCTTCTGATTCTCCCCCCATCCCACCAGGGCACGGGGGAGGGGAGTGAGTGAGCAGCACTGTAGCTGAGGTTGAACCACAACAGCACAGTATAATAAATTTCACTTCTGTTTCAGAGCCTCTTGTATAGTCACTGTTTCCCCAGAAAAACTGGTTTAATGCATCTACAAAGCATAAGAAAACTGTATTAAAGCATTTCTTCCTTACCCGGGAAGCCCTATTTACTACCCTTCAGATAATGCACACTGTTTTGATCCAATTTTGTCTGTTCTGCAGGTGCGATTTGTAAGCAGTACGTGGGTTTTTGGAAAGCTGATGTGTCATATAAGCCGGTTTGTTCAGTACTGCTCTGTTCACGTGTCTGTGCTGACTCTTGCTGCCATCGCCCTGGATCGCCATCAGGTATGCGATATACATCAATCCCTACGCTTGCTAGAAAAATAAGGCCTCAAATACACATTTTTTTCCCCTTCAAATCCCAGTCCCTGGAAACCTGTATTGTCTTGGGAATCAAGGACTGGAAGGGAGAACTCTAGCTTTCTTGGCAGTGGACAAAAAACCTCACGTCTTTTTGACCATGAGGGTGATCAAACACTGGAACTGGCTGCCCAGAGCAGTTGTGGAGTTTCTGTCCTTGGAGATATTCAACACCCAACCAGAGCCAGTCCTGGGCAGCCTGGTCCTGCTTTGCACAGGGAGCTGAACTACATAATCTCCAGGGGCCCCTGCCCACCTCAGCCACTCTGAGGAGTACAACCCTGAAAGCCTGGTGGGAATACATTCTGAAGTTCAATACCAGCAAGCCAGGTATTATCTCAGCAGGTCTTAATGAAGAGTCTTACAGTTTTTAAGCTTGCCCCATTATTTTGGGATGCCTAAAACTCCAGATCAGTAATGAGAACTGTGTTAGCACATGTAGTTCAAGTTGAGAAATTCTCCTCTTCTTCCCCAGCCCTGATACTTTTTTGGCTAATACCAGCTAGGAAAACCTTACAGGTCAAGCAATGAGTACAGACCAAAGGGATTCCTTGAAGTATAATGCAGGTTGTAATTTTTGCTTAAGCTGATAAATGCTGTGTACTGGGAGAGCAGATCCTGCAAGGTGCACCCTCAGACAGAACGTGTATTTTTCTTGCGGTGCTGTAGTGACAGAAAGGGTTGTTACTGGAAAGCATTTTCGCATGATAAATGACATGGCTAGATGAAGTTCAAAACAACAGATTCCACTCTGATCATCTGGGATGTGCTCCATCTGGTGTCAGAAAATTACAGAGACTGCCAGAGTATAGATCATCCATTTTCGTCCTTTTTATCACAAAAAGTTTGGTAGTCTGCCTGTTCCATGTGCAATATTGCAGCTCCTGAAAACAAAGCATTTTGATAATGCTTCATTTTAATCAGCAGATTCTGGGTTGATTGCAAGGCATGGCTAGGTATCGAGAAGTGTTTGTTTCATTGAGGGTAAACAGAGTACCTGACTTTAAATTTAGTGGACTAGATTCCTCAGAACTGGAACTAGCTAGTATGGCCCAAGGAGATAAAAGTAGAAGCAAGGAGATGTCGCTCAGCAAAAAGAAATTAACACTTGCTTCTAAAAATATTGCTAGTCCTGAGAGGTGCCAGAGCAGACAGATGCTCCAGGGGAGTTGGAGAAGCTCGATTAAGTAGATATTTATACTAAGACTAGAAAAGACATTCATAAAATACCAAAGGCTTCATTAGCCAAAGGATCATTTGGATGACATGCTAGGTCTATTTTTAATTATTGTTTCATTGCCTAATCTAATAATCCATAATGGACATAGCTCAACAGATATCTAACCATCACGGTCCCTGAAGTCAAGCTGGTGGGTGACACTGAGCATGTTCCTCTGCTCAGGGCACTGGGCCAGCAGCAACACTTCATACTTGCACAACTCCTTGCGTTTTCCAGCCCTTATGCCCTGTGAAGTGTTGTAAAATGAGTCTTTTCTTTCTGCCTTTTAACTCTGGGGGGGTGCAGAGCTTCTGCAGTGCTTCAGACCGTAATGTGAGGCTGAAAGATTGACCTAGACGTTGTCAGATAAAGTCACCCTCCTTAGCAGCAAACACACCTGGACTACACCGTGCTGTAGCCAGTACTGCACAGCGTAAGCTGAGAATATAGATGACACCAGCCTTCAAGTCTGTTGGTGTTATGTTGGCCAAAGATTACGTTCAACCGTGATTTTCAATCATCTTGTCACTCTGCCTTGCAAGTCCACCAGATGCCAAATGTGAGCACCGTAGCTACCATCTGTATCTGAGAC